ATTTACGAATTGCTGGCCATGGGGACTTGCTACCCTAAGGTTTAGCTTGATTTGTTGCAACGTGGAAAAGAATGGAGTCCTTATCTAGGAAAGATATAAAATTAATTAATGCTCAAGCTTTCAAATAGATATTTTTTTTTTAGATTAACGTGGGTGTCCTGGCTAGCTTACGCGTATCACGACTAATCTCACGGGCCATGAAGTTAACGACCATGTAAGCCTCCAGTGACCATCATATGAGTAACAAGGACTCGAACTTGAGACAATAGAGGAAGCAAACTCCTTAGTTCCAAGTCTTTATCATTTGGCCACCATCTAGATGATTATTTTAAATAGATATTTAAAAAAAGAGAGAGGGATAATGCTCAAGCTTTCAAATAGATATTTTAAAAAAGAGAGAGGGAGAGAGAGGAAGGAATAGTTCTTACAAGACAAACACATGGGATATGGAATATAGCCGTAGCATTTGACAACATTACAAGTGATCCATAGAGACATGTTGACCGGATATTACCATACTACTGTACAAACTGGTTATTATTATTAAGTAATCTAAAGACAGAGAGAGAATTTATTAACCTTAATAAACTAAGACAACATATACAAAAAATTTCATTTCCCGGAGAATCTAGAGCGCATCAGGCGCTATGGCTTCGAAAACTATAATTAAGAAAAGATGAACATTTTCTGGTCATCATCTAGTTGTTATTGCAATCAACTCATATAAACAAACAAATAAAAAGCAAAGCATGGGTTTTCGAGCATAATGAACTAGAGAATGCAGCATAAATTTTAAACGGGGGGGTTGGACAAAAGTAAAGAAAGAACAAGAGGAGAGTAAATAACCTAGACAAGGTCACGTCCACAAGTCACGTGATGGGAACCCCGTGTTGACGCCGAGGAATATGGCGTGTTTTTCTTTGATATAGTATATTTCTTCCATGCCCGGGGTGGGGCTTCACAGGTGGGTTTCGCCGAGGAATACTTGGACATGGAGAGGGAATAAGGGAGATGGGATAGATAAGATTACAGATTAGACGAATAACTACTCGGTGATCATGACTTGAGCATCGGGGTTGCCATCCGTTCTCGTTTCTCATCTGCCACGCGCCTTTTTTAGAAATGTATTTGAAAGGTGACAGTGATTAGTTTTTAAATTATTTATTATTTTAAAAAATATTAAAATAATATTTTTTTTATTTTTAAATATCATTTCTAATATTATTACATTAAAATAATATAAAAAATTAATTTAAAATAAAAAAATAAAATATTTTAAACTTTTTAAAATATTTTTTAAAACACGATACAAAACACACATAATTATTAAAATTTAGCCACACAGCTAAATACTAGCCTGCAGGATTTGTTGTTATGTAATTAAATCATGCTCAAAATTTAATAGCTATTCTTTGTATGTGTGTAGCTGTAAGCATTTTTAATTAAAAAAACCAACCACCCTATAATTTATTTTTATATGTATTTAGGAGTAAATTTAATTGGAAATTGGTTCAAACTAATCAATTTTAATTTGATTTAAAAAAAAAATTCAAGAGAAAAACCGGCAAAATCTTTGAGATTTTTTTTGGGCTTGTTATAGCAAAATCCAGTTGTGGAATTTGTACAATTCAAAAAATTATAGTAAATTAGAAACTTTGATGAATCAATTTTTTAAATTCAAACCACATTTATCTTAAACTAGATTTCATTGAGGGAAATTGAGAATGGCTGGTTTATGAGGATTTAAGATGTTGTGTTTAGTTGAGAAGGTGGAAAAGAATAGTTTGAGACTATATTAATGCTAGGTTTCGTGGAAGGAGATCAGGAGAGACAAAAAACAAGGAGATGAAGAAAAGAAAAAGAAGTTTTTATCTTGTGATGGAAGTTGGTTTGGTTAGATTTTTGGTGAAGAAGATGTTTTAATAAAGGAAGCACGAGAGGGGGTGACTTTGAATGATTTAAAAGTTATGATTTATACATGTGAGGAGAGAGGAGAAGTTTATATATATGTTTGATTTTTTTAGTAGGGTTTTATTTTGGTTAAATCAGTTTAGTGGGGTCTGGCTTAATTGGCTTTATACTTTTGAAATTAAAAATAAACTAGATTGAATATTCTTTTTTGGGTTTTCTAATCAATTCATTTATTTGTTTTTTCTTGATTTTTTTTATTTTTTTATTTGATTAATCTAATCAATTCATTTATTTGTTTTTTCTTAGTTTTTTTATTTTTTTATTTGATTTTTTTTATTTATCACCACATATATTTATGGTTAATTGGTTAATAGATTTCTTAACCTTTTGGTCAAGCCCAATTAAATCCAGGACCTTTTTGTCTTTATGGAATTAATTGGTTAAAAATGTCTTTATGCCTTCTGGTGAAATATAAGTTATTCTGGCAGATGAGATCTATGGAATTAATCTATTATTTATAAATTCAATTATTTTTATAGGTGGTCAGCTGAATTTCTTTTTAGAAATACAATCTCGCACAACTCTAAAAATGCCATATCTTTTTAGAAAAAAAACTCATTCACCATAGCAAAAACACAATTCTGAATCAAATGCCATAACTTTTTATAAAATGTGAATGTAATCCATCTGATCCTGGTGCCTTTAATCCATCACAATCTTATACTGCTTGCTTGACATCTTCCATTATAACTTCTTGCTCCAGTTGTCTCACTTGAGTAGAATTAAGTTTTCTAAAGCCATCTGACCCTATAGTAACCCTTATTGCCATATTTTTAGCAAACAATCTTGAAAATAATTAGACTACTGCACCTTTAATGCTTTTTGGAGAAGCATGTATTATGTTGTCATGGCTGATTTGAATGATGGTATTACAGCTCCTTCAGATAATTGTTGTTAAATGGAAGAATCTTGTATTTTTGTCCCCAAGTTTGCGCCTCCATGTTTGCTTCAACACATTTGCTGACCTCTCACTGCTCCGAATTGAGTCGTTGCAATTCATTTATTTCGAACTTTATGCGTCCAAATAAAACCTACCAATTACATTACAATCTAACTCAAGAAAAAAAACTTAAAAAATTCTTAGAGGACCAGAATCAACTCTACCGAATCCCATAGCTGATGAATTAAACCACGAAGAAGAAAATGGATACATGAATAGTTAGGGACATAGTTAGACATTGATTTAAAGTTAAAGGACAATTTTGCCCATAAACAATAAGTGGAATCAAAATAATTATATAAAGAAATTAAGGCATGACCAAATAATTAACTCCCCTAACTAAAAACACTTGCAAAAATCAACTTGAACCAATCCTGTCAAATTAATTCTCATAAAATGCCATGTCAAAAAAATATGTAAACCTACCCTCTTCACCTTAACAAGAAACACTGAATGGTCAAGGACTGATTGCTAAGAATATGATTGGAACGAGGGTAAAGGGAAGAAAGAATTACAAGGGTAATTCTTAACCTCCTTTATTTTTGTGTCGGCATAATTTTAAGAAGGGTGAAATTTTCAAAAAAGGGTAACATTTAATATAAAAAGTAGGGTTAAATGTTAATCTTATAAGAGGAGCAAAGGATTTTTGAGGATTTCTTTCTTTTACATTATTTTAAACCTTTCTTGATAATTCTATTTGGTTTAAAAACTTGATTGGATTTATATTGGAATCCACTTTTATCTTTATTTTTAACACTTCATTCCTTATATATATATATATATATGCACGTATAGTTTCCCTTGAGAAACAACGTAAGTTGAAAACTACTCAAGTAAACTATGAATTTTACTATTCTCAACAAAACGGGAGAAATAGGACCAGAGATTTTCAGGGGGGGCATTAATTGGAGAAATAAAAGCGCGTGGGGTATCAACTTTTTTGAAATTTAAAGGGGAAGTGGGTCAGAGAGAGTTTTGCATGTGGGTCTGCGACCCTGGTGTCGCCGGACACCCCAGCCAATCTGACACCCTTCTCTTATAATTCCTCTTGCCATTTTCAATTTTCAACCCCCCCCCCATCTATATTTCTCAGCTTGAAAAGAGGTTCGCACGTGTACAGCTCGATCTTTATCGACAATTTGCTACGTGCGCACCAAGACTTGAAGAGACCGATGGGAGTTTTCCCAATCGTGGCTGATCTTGTGTCCTCTGTGAAATGGAAGTTGGAGAGAGGAGACACACACTTGATTGACTTGACTAGAGCTGGCAAAATAATGGTCGGTTCAGGCCAAGAGAATTAAATTTGGGCTGGAACTGCAATATTAATTAGATCAGCAAAATATTCTCAACTTGCCATTAATTTTCTCTATTGGAAGTCTTTGAAGGTGGACGCTGCTATTTTTATTCCTTTTTTAGAGATCCATCGTGCTAATCTTTACTGGGTCATGATCATAGATTACATTAATTATTTAACTTCGTAAATTCCCAATTACGTCCAAGAAAAGAACATCTAGTGCTTAAATTCCCTTGATATCGACACCCTTTTAGCTCTTAACTACATTTTTTTTCTTAATTATTTAATTGAACAAAGATTAATGCATAGGATACGTTGCATGGAAGAGGCCAACAACTGCAGCATTTGAACAGGTATATATTATTATTATTTTTAATCTGGGCCTGCCAGTCAATCCTCGTTCATTAAATAAAACGAGGGGTAGTCTAATTGAAGCAAAAGGCATATGAAAATCACAAAAGAAAATATATAAAAAGAAATGTTATGTAAGAACATAAGGAGGGAGCAGCTCTAGGGAATCTGAAAGAGTCATGATCCATCAACGTATAGAGATTTTGAGAGCTAGAAAAAATAATTTATGATCAATTAGACTCACTCAGTTATCCCTTCTAATATTCCCATGGAACGAATCCTGTTTTGTTTTCTCAAATCCCATTCATTTTTCTCTGCAAAACACCATGCACCATTAATTAATACATGATCCCCTGCAAAACCACTCTTATTTTCGTTGTCCATTATAAAACAGATAAAGGTCCCCTCCCCCGGCTCTCTCTGAAGAAATGTTTCTGACCCTTCTGCATCCTTAAATTTTATACAGGTTTCTCTTTTTACATACTTTTCATCTAGACCATCATCCCCAGAAACACTGCATCACTTTCTCTTTTCGAGCATTTTTTTTTTAATTTCTCTCACTACCACTCTCAAACTTTGCAATTCCTTTAATTCCCTCACTATTTATATTTCTTTCTATGATCTTCTATATATTGATCAACCCTAGATGGATCCTACTAAAAGAAAGCTAGCCTATTCATAATTTCTCTCTTCTTTACATTTATATATATCCCCCTCTCAACACCCGTTCGAATCATAAGGTACTCATGAGATAATCATTATATAATCACAAAGATTCGTTTGTTTTTCAGCTATATATCCCCTATAGCGCTCTTCCTTCGAAGTTTTCTCCCATTCACTTCCTTAATTTCCATTTTACCTTCCTTATTTTTCCTATTTTGATCAACCTCTTAATTAGTCATATCTCTTTCCTTCTTTCTCCCTTGCTACTCGCAAACCTGACTGAATTATATCTCCATCTTCTTCATGCCCTTAAGTTCCAAACACATGATGAGAGCTGCATCTCCTTTTCCTGATCTTTCATTGCAGATAAGCCCACCAGCAGTGCTGGAACCTAAAGAAACGGGCGATGATGGAGGACTAGCAAGAAAAGCCCTCTGCAGGGATAGGAGCTCAGCCACAGATTCTGATAGTAGTGGAAGCGATTTAAGCCATGAAAATGGTTTGTTCAATCAAGACAGGATCGCTTATAATCTTGGTCCTAGCCAACCAACTTTGAGCTTAGGGTTTGATATGGCAGATTTGAGTTCTCCATCATTTCAACTACCAAGAAATCTTAATCACCTCCACCACCACAACCCCCCTCAACTCTATGGGGGTGATTTCAAGAGAAGTGCAAGAATGATTAGTGGAGTGAGAAGAAGCAAGAGGGCTCCTAGAATGAGATGGACCACAACTCTCCATGCCCATTTTGTCCATGCTGTCCAGCTTCTTGGTGGCCATGAAAGTAATACTCCAAAACAATCTAAGATATTTCTCAAAAACTTGCACCCACTAGTTCATTTCTATATCTGAAGTTTTTTTTTAGTGGTTTTCTCTTCTTATATGACAACAAAAGAAGAGATTATTTGTTAATATAAAAGAGAAGTAAGTTTAAACTTTTCTCTTTGAAAATATTTATTGTTACAGGAGCTAAACTTTTCTCTTTGAAAATATTTATTGTTCCAGGAGCAACACCTAAATCAGTCTTAGAGTTGATGAATGTGAAGGATCTTACCCTAGCTCACGTGAAGAGTCACTTGCAGGTGGGATTACTGAGTTCAATCTGCATTGCTTTTAATTTGTTAATTTTAGGAGATTTTCAAGATTTTTCAATTTATTTTTGCACTTATAACGTTTCACATCTCTATGTACGTATTGCTGTGACTTGCTTCTAGTGGGGAGGGAAATTGCAAGGGGTAAGGACAAAAGAGCATCTCTAAAGTAATCTTAATAATGTGGACTTTTTCTCATTTTTCCTCTGGGTGTTCATGCAGATGTATAGAACAGTGAAGAGCACTGACAAAGGGTCAGGTAAATTATAATGTCCCCATACGGATTGAACTCAATGTTTAATCTTTTCCATAATTGTCTTTGCTAGAGAGAGTTTGCGATTCAAGTGTGGCCAAAAACTCTATCATTGATTTACTTTTTTCAACTAATTAAAGCCAAAATAATAATAATAATGTTGGGATCGAACTGACTGAATGTATTAGTCTATGTATGAATTATTTTGCTTAGTGTCTGATAAAGCAGGAGCAATGACTCGATTTATGATGATTACAGGTCAAGGGCAGACAAATATGGGTTTGAACCAAAGGGCAAGGATTCTTGAGGTGGATGCTGCAGGTTTATCGAGTGAAAAAGCTGATGCCAGCAACTCTTCTCAATCTCTCAATAATCCACCACCACCGTCACCACTACCTTCTGTACAAAAAAACCAAAGGTGTGACCAGTGATTCTCGTTTCTTCTCATCTCTTTATTCTTTTTGTCATTATAAGGTGAATCTTATCCTCTCAAGAAAAAAAAAAATTTAAAAGGCAAAGTACAATTCCATCTTCAATGAATGCATTAAGCCAATGCAAACATATATTCATGCACGAATTCACACAGATGCCTTTGGCGATGGACTTCAATTTGGTCCAACATGTCCTGTCTTAGTTATCTGTGTAGATGACAGGTTTCAATAATTGAGTGATGTCTCTATATATATCTTAATGAAGTTCGCCTAGGGTTTCTAGGATAAGTGTAGTGATTTACGTACGTGTACCTTTCATATATATCAGTAATGTGCCCTAGCATGCTCTTCATCCGTTAGATTATGAATGTAGCTTAATCCCAATGTACGGGAAAGTCAAGGACTTGGTTCCAATCTCAATGTTATTTTACTCCAAGGGTTATTTGCTTTGGTCTCCAGTGCACAACTCAGAACCTCAAATTGTCATGTTAACATTTTTAGTCGATCGAGTCAATAATGTTTCATCGTTGGCTGGATTCTCTTGTCTTATTCCTGTGGACAATCAATTCAAAACCAGAAGACTGAGTTTTGATCCCCATATTTGAATCTTTAATACGGATCTCCTGTGTTTCCATGCCCTACTTATTTCTTAACAATGCTATTAATTTTGTTTTTCTCTGTGCCGGTTAGCTACAATTAAGTTTTTTCCATAGCCTTATGAATATTTGTTTTTCTCTGTGCCGGTTAGCTACGATTTAACATGAAAGAAAAGAAAGGACACGCACCCTTTTACCTATGAATATTTGTTTTAGCATATTGATCGTTAGTACTAAAAATAATTAATTAATATTGATTTAGTGATTATTATTTGTGAACAGAAATCCAGGGTCATTATCGATGGCGATAGATGAGAAAAATAGACCAAGCCTTGACTCTCTTACATATTCTGATTTCAATGCACATGATCAATCCAAGGTATATATATGCTTTGTCATTATAAGCAAAAATACATGGAGTGCTATATGTAGCATATATCCATTATTCTTCTAACCCCTGATTATATGATCTCTTTCTATCATTAATTAGGAAGACGGACAGAAGGCAACCCTACACATGGCTGCTAATATGAAGGAGAGGTTGGACTCTAGCTCCTTGTCTTCTTCAGATATGTTGATTAACCTAGAGTTCACCCTTGGAAGGCCAAGTTGGCATTTGAACTATGATGAATCTTCAAATGAGTTAACCCTTCTCAAGTGTTGAATAGGCTAACAAACTATAAATTTATGATTTATCTAATCAATCCTCTTTTTAGTGGACGACATATCTTCTAATCTTTATGCGTCCTCAATGTCTCTTGGATTTTGTCTCAAATGTGAAAGGGTGAAAAGAAAAAAGACAGCTTAATCATATATTTATAACGCTGCAGTCAAAGAATATATACAAGCCATAATTAATTGTGATTACGAGTTTTCTTTTCAACGGGATGCTCGAGGAAACTTGAGTTGTAAAGTAGTACGTAGTAGCTTTCATCATCCCTCTTAAAGTTTGTACATAACACCTGCTAGTCGAAGTTCCAAAGTTCAACTGTTGGGGATGTCTCCTTGAGAGCTTAGTTCGATAAACTTGTTGAAACAGCTGATATACATTATAATCTGGGCAGCAGTCTAGTTAAGCGGTCCCTATCTGGCCATGCCATACCCATAGATAAGTTACTCTGTGAAGAGAGATCATCCACTGTTGAATTCAATGTTCCCTAACTCATTTATTTGAGCTAAAAAATTAAGTTGTTATCGGAAGCCAGTGCACATGAATCTGATCGAGTATTGTACCGCTGAGAGAATTCAGTAATTTCTCTATTTAACCTCGCGTTAACTTAATCATATCCAGCAATACAAAACATATTAAATTGGGCCGGCTATATATATATTGTGATTAAGAGGTGGGTTATAACTTGCCTATACAATTATATATCTTGAAATTAATCTGGATTTCTTAATATTCCTGGCTGCTAATTAGTGTTTTACGAGCCTTCTTGTCAGCCATACCTGCTGCATCTTGACCTTTACTTTATGAAAGTACCCCAAACTTCGTAGGACCCAATAAAATCTGTCGTCGTCTTCGAACGATGATATATACTGTGTGAAAAGAGGGAGACATTAAATAAACCTACTTTGCATTTGCACGTGCTAAATGTTTTGGCTTCCTTGAACTCGAGCTTCTATGTAATTACAGAATATATATTCAACATCAGATTTTAATTCTGGATTGCCGTTTGGAAATTTGATTGATCTATCAAGGAACCAGAGCTTCAAAGTGTACGTGCATGTGCTGATATATTAAATGTTTCTCATTCCACCTAGCTAGTTGTTTCTCGGGGAACAATTTTAGAACTTGAAGAACAGCGTTGATGTGAGAAAGGAAAAAAACATATAATGAGTTATCATATCCAATTACACTCACTTTTATATATAAATGATTTATTTAAAATTGATCCAAAAAGTACATATTTAAATACGATAGATCACTAGTTAGCCAACTTTTATTCGTCAAAAAAACCTACTTGATAGAGATTATTGGACAATTAACGATCCTCCAATGAATTTGTATTCAATTTTATAGGTATACCATGAAGTTAACTCATTTAATCTAAATTTTGATTTTTATGTTTAAAATTAATTTGTTTATTTTTTTATATTGTTTTAATGTACCAAGATTAAAAATAATTTTTAAAAATAAAAAATATTATTTTTATATATTTTTAAAAATAAAATATTTATTTAAAAATAATTCTTAAATACTAATAAGTCTTTTAGGGCTTTGGCCCTTAGTTTCAATAAATAAATTAAATTAAATAAATACTTGCAGTGTCTTATTGCAATCCACAATGATTGATGCCTTGTCCGTTTTGAGGCTAAGAACTTGGAACCTTCTCGTTGGCTTCTTACTGAGTCATCCATGGGCACGGTGCACGTCTCGCAGTTTGGATCAGAAAAGGTTGTGGTCTTCCCAAATTTCCACCACTCCAACCTCACATTTATTACTCTTAGCAGTCTGAAATTGAGTACTTTGCGGCAAGAGGACCACCACGCCGATAATAATGTGGCTGTGGCTGTGGCTGTGGTCGTGGATCTGCAAAGCCATTGTAGCCTGTTCTTCACTTGTAACACTCTCTGGCCCATGATTCACTGACTCTCATGGGTTGATTTATATGAATATTTTGGACTGACATAGGGGCCCAACTACCCTCTTTCCTATTTCCAGCCTTTCTGATCTCGACCAGCTGCACTTAAATTGTCCTGCCTTGGTGCCACCGTGCTTGTGTACCCGTTGTTGAATTGAAATTTTGAATTTTATTTTGTTTGAAATTAAATTTTTTATATTTTTAAATTATTATAATATGTTGATGTACAAAACAATTGACTCAAATTAACTAGTCAAATTCAAAATTTATAGTCAAATTCAAAACTTATATGATGAGACTATGATAATTCTATAAAAATATATCAAAAACAATTTATATAACTCAATTATCAGTCAACTTAATATTGAAGTATGAAATAAAAAAATCAATTAAAAAATTAAAAACAATCAAATTCAATTAGAATTAACCTGTTAAATCCACAATTTAAATTATAAAATTGGGATAGCCCCATATCAAGCAAATTAAAATAAATTATAAAGTTTAATTTTCAATCAACTCAATAATAACAGATAAAAATGATAAAATAAATTATAAAGTTTAATTTTCAACCAACTCAATAATAACAAATAAAAAAAAAATAATAATTTGAAAAAAAAAACTGAGTCAACTTAGATTAATATATGACTCAAAAAAAAAAAATTGAAAAAAAACAAAAAAAAAACTGAGTCAACTTAGATTAACATATGACTCGAGTCATGAAACCGATATAAACCTTATAAGAAACAAAACAAATTAAATTATAAATTTCAATCTTCATCAAACTTAATATTAAATAATAAAATTTAAATAAAATAAAAACTAAATTAAAATAAAATAAAAATCAATGCACTATATCAATGAATGTATAAAAAGATAGCAATGAATTGACTTTCTCTTTTAGTTTTTCATTAGATCATTAATATGTGCTACATTATGGGTTAGGTTAAATTTTTCTTGAATCCTGAATATTCTTTTATTGAAAAATAAATTAAACCATATAGGGTTTAATTTGATATGAATCGGTTGACTTTATGGATTTAAAAGCAACATGAATGACTTATAAAAACATAGTTTAACTCAAACAAATTTCAACACAACATTATTTTTTTTAATAGTAACATAACAATATATTAGATTGATTTGGATTAATCCGGGTTGACATATCAAATCCATGACTCAGGTTATGATACTACGATAACATTGCAAAAAACAAATTAAAACAAATCATAAAAATTAATTTCCAATCAACTTAATGTTAAAGGATAAAAAGAAAAAAGAAAAAAAATCAATTAAAAAAAAACTAAAAAAGTGACTCCACGCTAACCTATCAAAGTAACAACTCATGTTATATGACCGAGATAATCCTATAGAAAAAAATCAAAATAAATAATAAAGTTCAATTCCTAATCAGTCTAATATTAAAGAATAAAACTAAAAAAAATCAATAAAAAAAAATAAAACACAACCAAAATTAATCCACCAAACCCATGACTTAGGTTATGAAACCGAGATGAACTCATAATTTTTTAAACCCATGACTTAGGTTATGAAACCGAGGTGAACTCATAAAAAAATTTAAAAAATAGCATGATTTAACTTGGATTAACTTGTCAAGTTGTGAATTTGGTCATGAAACTGTGATAATTCTATAAAGAGTAAGTTAAAATAAGTTATGAGCTCAAATTTCATTCAATTTTTTCTTACTCAATGCTAAATAATGAAATGTATAAAAAATTTAATTAAAAAAATAACACAAGGAATAGGTTAGCCCATTAAGAATAATTCTCGAGGCATGAGATTAAAATAACCTCATAAAAATCAAATAAAAATAAATTATAAAACTTAATCCCTAATCTTTCACAATATTAAATGATGAAATTAGGGGGAAAAGACAATAAAAAAAATAAATCAACTAGATTAACTTGCCAAATTTACAACCCAAGTCATAAAATAAAGACAACTTAATAAAAATCAAATTCAATGTTGAAGGAAATGAGACCGATATAAACTTTTAGAAAGAAAATAAAAAAAAATAGCATGATTTAATAGGGGTTAAAATATCAAAACTCACGACTTTGATCGCGAAACTTAGATATCCTTATAAAAGCCAATTCAAAACATATTGTGAAACTCAACCAATCCAATATTAAATGATAAATTAAAAAAATTAATTGAAAAAAATAATCTTAATCAACTAAAGTTAACTTGTTAAACATTATTTATGGGTCACGAGATTGAAATAACCTAATAAAAAGTAAATAAAATAAATCATGAAATTTAATTCCTAATTAACCCAATATTAAATGATGAAATTAAAAAAATTAATAAAAAAACTTTAATCAACTTATTTAATTTACTAAACTTGCAATTTGTATCATAAAAGTGAGATGACTCAATTAAAAGTAAAAGTAATTTAAGGGATTTTTAAAATAATAAATCAAAAGAAAAACATTGATAAAACAATAAAAACAAATATTTTTTTAGCTTCACACATAACATGCGGGGAAAGTACTTTTTATTTTTATGGTACTTTCTTATATGTTTTAGTGTATTGTTATTAATAATAATTAAAAATTCAATTTTATTTTTTTTAGTTTTAATTTAAAATATTTAATTTTATTAGTTGGTTAATCTTTTAAGGTGATTAGATCAGGTTGGATAAGTGATTTTTTTTGCACGATATTTATTATATACATGGCATAATCTTGTTTATTTTTTAAAATTAATCTCTTAATAATAAATTTCAAGCATGAAAAACAAACTATAAATCATTATTGATAAACTAGATAAAAATATTATCCAACTAAGTTTGATGACATAGAAATATCCGATGGAGAGGAAAGAAGTGCTGTCTGATAATGGGCTTTTGTTTTCTACTTCTGAACAACGGGCCACGAACACAACGCAAGTAGACAGAGTCCGTCGTCGTCAAGATGGTGACGCGGCTGGACGCGGCACCAAACACAGAGCAATTCAGGGTGACGGTAATGCAACTAATCATGTCACCGGCGAAGAAGAGGAAAGCGTGGGCATCGTACAGCAATTATAAAAGTGTCGTCTCCTGCTTGGAAATTATATGGGGCTCAGAAACAAATATCAGAGATAATTCAGACATTTAACTCCACGCCCCTCATCATTAC